GTCTCTCTGCTCTTCTGTCCTAAACTTGTGGCCTTCAACCTCACAGACATAAGATAGCTGTCTTACTTCCAGACATTACCAGCAACTTCCAGAATGGAAAGGGGAGGAACGAAGGCAGAAGGCAGCTGCGGGGCTGGGTCCACCCTGTTATAGGTGAAGTTTACACTACAACCTCATGACTCCCGCACACATCTCGTTTCCAAAACAGTGTCACGTGGCTACCTCTCCCTCTGCCAGGGAACTGGAGGATGAAAGGTTCTGTTTTGTTTTGGCCAGAGCTATTACCACAATCAGAATTCTGTTAATAGGGAAGAAAACCAGAGTGAATATTAGGCAGGTAACTAGCAGCGTCTGCCTCAGATAAACATTATTCTCTTCGTTGTACAACAAGGAAACCAGGGTTCAAAGAGGCTGAGTAATGTGATCATAGCTTGGGATTTGAATTCAGGCCTTATGATTGCAAAATCAGGGCTTTTTGATAAGAATTTATTTATGGGGGGCAGGAATTTTTTATGGGAGCACAGTTGATTTACAATATTGTGTTAGTTTCAAGTGTACAGCAAAGTGATTCAGTTATACATATGTATATATATGTACACACACACTTTTTCAGGTTCTTTTCCATTATAGGTTATTACAAGATATTGAGTATAGTTCCCTGCGCTATTCAGTAGGTCCTTGTTGGTTTTCTATTCTATATATAATACTATGTATCTATTAATACCAAACTCCTGACTTATCTCTCCCCTCCCCCATCTCCCCTTTTGTAACCATAAGTTTGTTTTCTGTGTCTGTGAAAGAATTTATTTTTAAACTAGTTAAAACAACAAAAAATTTTGACCTCTTACCTTTATTCAGAAAACAAACAAACAAACAGAAACCATTTGCTAAAGATTCTGGACAGCAGAAGTGGGAGTAGGAATCAGAAGGGGGGAAAGGACGAGATTTTCTGTGGGAACAGCACAATCTCATGCTTAAACAATGACAAAAAAAACCCCTCCATGCTTGAAAGCAGTCTTAAAGGTTATGGAACATTTTCAGGCTAGTTTCCCACTGCTGGGTAAAAATTCATTGCCTTGTGGTTAGAATTCATTCTGACCTGGCAAAGTCATTTTATTGCTTCTATTAACTCTTACCTAGTGCTTGAGAATTAAAGCAGCTCTTAACAAACCTAATCTGAAAATCATCTCCAATTGCTATATGGTGTTTTCCAGAATGATTCATTTGATTCTCATTTCCCTAAACCTGGCTAGTTTTGCTGTTGTTGTTGTTGTTTGGTGTTTTTTTGCTATCATTGAGAAAAGGAAATGGTTTGATCTGCCCTGAAAGGCAGGTCCCCTGTGAATAGTGACAGGGATGGGGCTATGGGATATTTCCTACCAGCTCCCAGGGATTCTGAGGTTTGAAGGAAATGCAGAAGACATCAGACATGGGTGCCAAGATCCCAGCTGAGAGGGGAGGGGTGGGCCTGCTTGACAGTGCATCGCCCTGGCCGTAGTGTGCAAGAACGTACAACCCCAACTGGTCTTGGGAACCTGACAGCCTGTGGCTTTTCCCTTAAGGGGATGGGGTGTGTCCTTACTTTGCTGTGTCCTTGCCTTGAACCTTGGGGATTCCCCTCCCTTAACTTTCACCACCTTGAACCTAGTTGGCTCTTGGCGCTGGACATGCGGACAATCTGGCCAAAAAGCATGGCCGAACAAATGTAGCCCAATCCCTGGTTCTAGCTACTGAGCATGGCTAATTCCCGCCCAAATAGTCATCTGGCAACTACAAAGAGCAAATTAATTACACTCCTGTGAGTTTAAGCAGCAGCAACAAGAAGAAGGTGAAGTAAATAACACAGAGATTGGGTCTGAAAAGGACCAGGGGTGGGAAAACTGTGTAAAACACACTTGGGGTAAAGAATCTGCACACAGATTAGATGTGATTGAAGGCTGGGAAAAACAAAAAGGGGGTTCCTGTTGGAAGATCACAGAACGCCCTGGCCCTCCTTGCTAATGCAGTTACAAGGTGTGCTTGTCCAATCACTGAAATAATAGAGCCTTCAAAGGATGTGGCTTGTGGGGTTTTGCTCAGCTTGGGTTCCCTTTGAGGATGGGGGGGCCAGGGAATTCTTGCCAAGGGCTGAGGAGCTGTCTAGCGCTGCCTGGGAAGCTGGGAGGAGGTGCTTTTCTAAGGATCTTGGGGTGGGACGTTTTTAATCTTGCAACTAGTGAAGAAGGTGGGTAGTGCCTGGCAAAAGTGGAATTGGGGAAAGAAGGAGCCCAAGCAAATTCTAGTATAAAAATCACATGAGAAGCTTGTTTGAAACGCAGATTCCCAAGGCCAGCCATAAAAGATTCTGATTCAGTAAGTTGGGGTTAGGATCTGGGAATCACAGGCAGTGTCTATGATTTGGGACCAGCGGCTCTCTGTCCCAGTTACTTTGCAAAAACTAAATGTGGTCTCTTCAAAAGTTAGCACTCAATCCAATTAGAGACTTGACTGATAAAAATACAAAAAAAAAAAAAGACTATTCTTTTGCCACCTCTCGTTCATTCACCTTTGGAGTTCTTTGGCCTGTTCACTGAAGAATAGTAACTTACCAGGAATTACAGAACTATCAGAGGCAACAAAATATAATTCTAGTATCGATTTCTCCACAACTGCCATTACTTAGAGCAAAAGCCTGCCTTTGCCTGCCTGAAAGAGGGAAGGAGGGACAGATCAAGAAGGAGGTGATCCCTTCCTTTCAAGATTTCCTTTCGAGATCTGAAGACTAAACACCTTTCTTCCAGAGGAAGAAAGTGCTGGGACCCCCAGAGACCCACAAGATTCATTAGGGCTGTGCAGTAGCTTTAAGGTTTTTTCACCAAGACCCATCCTAAAAATACTTTTCAAGACACAACCTACGACACACACACACACTCCACATACATGTACCTATGTGTGGTATGTGTTTACGTGGACACGTATGGGAAATGGAAACGCTTTATAAAACACGACTTGCCTTTACCGTGTGAAATGCACTCATATTTTCTATGCTCTGCCCTTTTTCCTTTTCCCTTCTCCCTCCCCCATCTTCCTTAATGATAGTCATGGTACCATAAAATGGTTTCATCTTGCTGTTTGAAAAGTGCTGGGGTCAGTGTAAGATTCCAACTGTTCTGAGTAGGAAAGAAGGGGAGAGGAGCTGGAATTGGAAAAGAGGTTTGTTTACTCACTTTTTCCTTCTTCCTTCTTCAGGAAGTAACTCTCTTCATTTATCCATTGTCTAAATTGGCTAAGACAGCATCCACATCCTGCAGAGAAGACTTTACAGTTTTAGAGGTTGGTACATCAAAACAAGAGAAACGCTCCTCAGAATTTACTGATAAACAAAGAAGTCTTTTGGAGCAATATGAGTATCAAAAAAAGTAATAATGGCAATAGATTAAAGCATGCCAAATATATAAACATCCGTGAGTTCCTAAAGATATTACAAAAAAGAAAGTCATTGACCACTTCTGGAGTTTTCTAGGATACTAATTCATTACTCTGAAAATTAATAAAGAAAAATGTCAAGCATTAAAATTAATTACCTGATAATGTTATTTAATACCTATTTGTAGCCTCTGCGTGACCAAAGTGGATTTGGCCATATTTGTAGCATAAGGTTTCATTAGTGTTTTCCTATAATGTGAACTTTTGCCTTCTAATATGATTATAAAACTAACATGCCTAATTTTGCTTTTTTAAAAAAATAATTTCATATGAGTGGAATTATTCAGTATGGTCTTTTGTATTTGCCTTCTTTCACATAGCATTTTGTTTTTGACATTCATCCATTCAGGAATATTTTATTCCTCTTTATTAAGCTGAGTAGTATTCTACTGTATGTAGTTACCATAATTTGCTTAACCATTCACTAGTGCTTTTCCTGTATCTATTGAACTGATGGGTTTTTTTTTTTCCCTTTATTCCAGCAATACGGTGATTTACATCGACAGATTTTCAGGTTAAACCAATTTTGCATTCCCAGGATAAACTTAACTGGTCATTCTCTTAAATGTTGTTGGATTTGATTTACTAAAAAGAACTTTTTTAATTGAAGTATACCTGATGTACAATATTATATAGATTCCAGGTATACAACATAGAGGAGATTCACAATTTTTAAAAGTTATATTTCATTTATAGCTACTTGATTTACTAAAATTTTGTTCAAGGTTTTTGTGTCTATGTTTATGAGGGATATTGGTCTGTAGCTCTCTTTACTTTTGTGGTTTTTCACTGGTTTTGGTATCAGGGTAAGCATGATTTCATAAATTCAGAAGTGTTTGCAATGCCTGTTAAATGCCTTGCAGAACTTTGAGAAACATTAAATTATGCATATTTAAATTGTCATTTAAATATGTTTCAAAAATAAAATAATCTGTTCTGACCTTCTTCAGTCTTCTCTAATTTCCATAACAAATATGGAAGGTGAACTCTGTTCACCTTCAAGCCTGGTTTGAAGGTGGCTGAATTAGTGAGTGATTTGTAATCAGATTTCAGGAAACTATTCCTAAGTAATTTTAGGGATTATTGTCACTAGAAACCTAGAAGGGGAAACCGAGACCCTTAAAGGTTGACAGACTCTTCCAGATCAGAGTACCTTCCCACTTTCACAGCGCTCCATCACACAGCATTCATTACAAGCTTTTACAGGAAACTATATAAAGTGCCTGCTGTGTATACATTTACCTTATAAAATTAATGTGTCCATCCTTACTCTTTTTCTTCCTTATGAAGGCCTACACTTCCTACTGACACAATCCAAAAAGGGAGCGGCAAAACAATGAAACTACAGGATCCTGTGGCTTGGGGGTTACTAGTTGAACTGGGCATGCTCAGTCGCCAGGCAGATTTTTTTTTTTTTTTTCGGTGAAGTGGAAACTACAACAGAGCGTACCGTGCGCACGGAGGTGGGCGTGCCCTCGTGGAGTTTAGAACGTTGCCGCAGCCAATGGGGCCTCGCGGCCGGCTGCCGGGGCTCCTCATTGGAGGAGCGGGGAGGCAAGCGAGTAGAGGGCCCCTGGAGGGAGCCGCGGAGGTTCAGGTCCCGGAGGCCGGGCTACGCCGAGGCTTGCGCGTGAACAGCTGCGGCGGGGGCAGCCTCCAGCGGCGGTGCCAGCATCCAGCGGCGGTGCCAGCAGTTCCAGCCCGTTGCTTTACTTTTTAGCTCCACCAACGTCATTATGCCGAAGAGAAAGGTAAGTCTTACCAAAAAACATTTCAAAGGCCTTCAAATTGTGGTAACAGCAAATCTTGTCATTGCAATGGATGGCGTGCAGTGCACTCGGTAGTAACTCGGGGGTTGCGAGTCTCTTTGCTTCTTCAGTGCTTGTTTTCAGTTGCCTGTTGCAGACATTGCGCCCTCCCTCTGTCCCCATCGATCTCTGAATGTTACTTTCTTTCCGGCGACCCGGCTTCCCTTCTTTTTGAACTCATTCTAGCCGGAATGGTTTCCACCTCGAACAAGAAGCAAAAGCGCTTTTCACCCCCGCTTCCAGGAGGGGAGTTTCCTCTTTACAAACTGCTAGGTTGCGGTTACTGTGGAGGAAAAGCAGCACGGGGTGGGGAACAAGTCCACGCATAGGGAGATAGAAAATGAATCCAATAAGTCGGGCAGATGTCGGGGTTATTCCCATGTGGGCCGTGCCCACGCCGGTGCGCAGCGATGGCTCTGAGGCTACAGGAGAGGGAAAGCCATGTTTAAAATAGCGCTCACTCCCCTGCTCGCCTGCGCTGCAGACCCGTATGTACCAACTCCAGTGTCAGGCAGGGCTGGGGACGGCGCAGGCGGGGCCGGGGTGGCTGGACTTGCCCGCAGTTGGCGGCGGCAGCCGCGGAGTTGGCCACACGCAGGACGGGACGCCGCCGGGGGCGCGCGCACCGTGGCTGCAAAGGGCAGGGGCCACCGGGTCCGATGCGAGGACCCAAACTCACACTCGGTCCCGGAAGGCGGGGTCCGCGTGCTCCCGGGCCCCTGGGTGTGTAGGGGGCACTGGGGTCACTCCTGGCGGACTATTATGTCCCCTTCCGCACAGGCCCCGGACACCAAGTAACTCGCATGGGGACGCACGTTTCCCTCGGAGTCCGGCTGCGACTTGTCATTGTCCCAGGGAGGAAGGGAAGGCTTTCCTCCCACCCCGAGGCAAAACCGCTGTGTAGCGGCTGTGTCTAAGAAAATGCCTTGCTCTCGTGTTTCCAACGCTGTTAACCAGTGAGGGTGTTAAATCTGAAGCAAAAGGGCAAATAATATTCTGCTTTATCTGTTAAAGATGGTGGAATGATTTGTGTGTGTGTAAATGACTGAATTATTTTTAAAATATTGAAGCTTTAAAAATACAGAAGCTTTTGCCATTTTATCTGTCTTTACTAAGAATTTGGTGGAAACTTGTCTCCTCCATTTTTTAAAAAACATTATTATTAAAAGTTTAAAAAAAATCTTAGAGTTTATTGTGCGCATACTATGTGCCTCATAGTGTGGGCAGAGTTTGATTTAACATCTAGTTTAATCCTCTCGTTTAACCTTGACAGGGGTATTCCATGGAACTGGGGCTTAGAGACAGGAATTACCCAAGGGTCTCAACAACCAATGGCTAGTACCAGAGATTTAATTAGATGCTGCAGGTCTAGAGGCTTTATTTTCAGACATTATTTACTCATTCTCTTCATTTAGTGGTGGGTGTGTCAAGAGGAGTTTGAAATGCAAAGAGACTCCCAGCCTAAGAAGATGGATGGCATATTGAGTACTAATAAATTAGGTTCATTATTTAAACTTAATTTTTATGAAAGTATTGTTTTTGCATTACTAGAACGAGGATATTAGAATGAGACCACAATTTTCAGCATTTTATCTTTGGTTTAATGACGAAGCTGGGAATTCTAGTAGAGTCACCAAGAAATGGGTTGCTGAGTGAGTTGATGCCATCTCCTTTCTTGGGGATTATTAACAAATTTAGACAAATAGTAGGTTAGAGGTGCACAAATTCTTTATTATAGTGGACCCTGATGTGCCGGAATCCTTGTTGTCCAAGGGTCAGAGTTGGTGAAACCATTACTCTTACTTTTCCTCATTGCCCACCTCTCTTAGGGAAATAGAAGGGAAGAAAAGAAGAGCAGTAGAGGAACTGGCGTTTTAACTATTGTTTTATTTCCCTAGAAGGCAGGGAAGAAGCTAGCCATAAAGAAGCTAGCCAGGCATCCTGGGACTAGGGGAAGACCTGTGTGCAGGCACCTGTGTGGCATCCTAGGGACATCAGAGTGTTTTCAGAGGTGGGAAAGCTCTCCTTGATTAATAGAAATGCTCTTCATTTATACCCATGGCCAAAAGACCTGGACTGGTACCTGGACAGGAGCAGCCACACATTAAACATGGCTTCCATGGCCATCCCATCTACAAGGCAAACCTTGGAGCTGCCTCACGGAACCCTGGAGTTCACGGAAACTTACATAGGAACCAATAGTCATTAGGTAAAGGCTGCCTAGACGCAAAGAAGAGAACTGGAGACAATCTGTGTGTTGCTCTGCAGGATCTGTGAAGCTGGGGTATCATGTACATATTGCTCCACGATATTTTTCTTGGCTGCAGCACTGCCTGTTGTACATTATAAGTTTCGAAAGTGTCCCCACAATGTTTTTTTTCTTTTTTTAACCGTCTTGGCCCCTTGTTTTCAACTTTTCCCAGAAATCAAGAAAGGTTATTTAATGAGCACTGTTGAGGCTGCAGAGTAAGAAACAGCACTAATAAAGTCAGTAGAAACATCTGGAATCCTAGCACTGCTTGCGTGCCATAGGGATATAAAGTTTACCCTCATGGAGCTTCTGTTTAATTCAATGAGGTGATACGGGTAGTGGCCACAAAACAGTTGAATAATATTAAGCCTGTATATATGTCCCAGAATACATAGTATAGATTCTATAAGCTGTAAGATAGATAAAGAAAGAAGGTTGAACTGGGGCCAGTCTTGAAAGTGTGTGTTGGCGGGGGGCGGTTTCAAATATACAAAGAGAAAAGCAGGCATTTTCTATTTTCAGGCATTTAGATGCCTCTTCTGATTGTATCTCAACATGACCAGGCCTCAGGTATATACTGTACCTCGAAGGCCACAGTATCCACGTTAATATAAAACATTCTTATGAAATTTCTTTTCTTTAAATATATATATATATATATATTTTTTTTTTTTTTTTCGGTACGCAGGCCTCTCACTGTTGTGGCCTCCCCCATTGCGGAGCACAGGCCCCGGACGCGCAGGCTCAGCGGCCATGGCTCACGGACCCAGTCGCTCCGTGGCACGTGGGACCTTCCCGGACCGGGGCACAAACCCATGTCCCTTGCATAGGCAGGCAGACTCAACCACTGCGCCACCAGGGAAGCCCTATACAATTTTTAAAGGTTACTTTCCATTTACAGTTATTACAAAAAAAAATTGGCTATATTCTCCATGTTGTACAATACATCCTTGAGTCTGTCTTACCTTTGTGAGTTTTATCTATATCTTCGTGTGTGATAGTCATAACTACACGAAACCAAATGGTTTTTATAACTGCGGGAGTATTTTTTGAAGCAGTATAGCCCTCAGTGGTGACGAGTTCTTCAGTTAGCGTTCCATCCTTTCCCAAGTTGGTGAGATTTAAATAAAGTTGAGTTTCCTCTATTCATTACCTAATGGGTGGTGGGTCACCACCCACTAATTCCTAGACTCAGGTGGTGGTGGGACAGTGAATGACTGAGTTCTAGACTGTTCTGGTCAGACATCCACGAATGCTTAACAGTGATCACGCTGTTATGTGATGACCTGATGGTCTACACAGAGACCTCAGCCAGCAAGTCCTAGAGCCATGGTCCTGGCATGAGTAGCAAACACATTTTCACATCCTTCTTTTTATTTTTCCAGTTCTTCATCACTGGAACTATTGGAAATGTCTAGTGTATCACATCAGAAATTTTCTCTAATGAGGCAGTTTTCCAGGAATTTGCGATGTAAACACTAGTCTCTCTTTACAGTTAAAATAAAGGTTTAGGGAAGAAAAGTCTGTCTGCCTCTAGCTTTGAGATTTGAAATTACGTTTTATCTCTTTTCATAAAGTAGAAAGGCCCTGGGCTTGGCACGTGGGATGCTTAACTAACAATACTTAAGGTTTCTGATTAATCTTTCAAAGGAGTATCACATATTATAACACCAGAGACAGATTCTGTAAATGAAAATAGAGATAACTTTGACTACATAAAAATGAATATGTCAGTATGGCAAAGAAAAGAAAACTCTGTTAACAAAATTTTAAAATTTATGAACAACTGGGGAAAAAGTATTTGTACCACGTATCACTGAAAAAAGTGTGCTATTTTAGAAAGATAAGGAGGCTCACATGTCCTTATGGAAAAGATGTATATCCTTATAAGAAAATAACAGACTCAATAGATGAAAATGTTTAGTTTTACTAAAAGTCAGAGAATAGTATATTATTAAGAATAATGAGATGTGAGTTTTTAAAACCAGTCTGGTTTAAAGAAAAGATTGGAAGTGTTACTGCCCAGTGCTTAGTGACACTGACACTTCAGCAACTCTCAAGCAATGTGGATGGGGGTATAATTTCGTTAAAAAAAAAAAAAAGCTTTATTGAGGTGTGATGTACTTACCATAAAATCTGTTCATCTATTCAAAGTATACAAATCAGTGATTTTTAATAAATTTATAGAGTTGTGTATCATTACTATAATCCAGTTTTAAACCACTTCTATCACTCCAGAAAGGTCTCTCCCATTGTTGGCAGACAGTCCCTACTCCTACCCCAGTCCTAGACAACCACTAACCTACTGTCTCTATAGATTTGCTTTTTCTGGAAATTTTATGTAAAAGGAATCACACGGTATGTAGTCCGTTACGTCTGGTTTCTTTCACTCAGCGTAGTGTTTTTGAGGTCCACTCATGGGGTAGCATGTATCTGTACCTCATTCCTTTATAGTGCCCAATAATAGTCCACTGTGTGGGTATTCGACTTTTTGTTTATCCTTTCACAAGTTGGTGGACATTTGGATTGTTTCAATTTGGGGTTATTATAAATAATGCTGTTGTGAATATTTGTATGTAAGTCTTTGCACGGACATATTTTCATTCCTCTTGGGAAGTTTCCTAAGGGTGGAACTGGTGGGTGGTATGAAAGTCTGTCTTTAAGAAACTTCCAAACTGTTTTCCAAAGTAAT